GGCGCGCTGCGGGGTGGGCGGACCCGGCGTTCCGGAGGCGGGGCCTGACGGCGTGGGGCGTGGCTCGGGGCGCGCGAGCGCTCCGCCCGATTGCTCGGGCGTGTGGAGTGCTCCGGGAGGCGGGGCCTGAGAGTTCAAAGGACGGGACTGAGCATCACGGGGGCGTGGCCTGGAGTTTGTAGGGGCGGGGTTCGATAGCTCCTAGGACGCCACGCCCTCAGAGGCGGGACCGAAATGAGTCCAGGGTCCTAGCACGCCCCCTACTGGCTTCTCCTTCCCACCCTGTATCCTCCCAGCGGACCCCACAATCCCTGGACCACCTTAGAGCGACTCCATCACCATCTTCCTTAGGGACTCAGGAGTCCGGACTCCCGCCCCCTGCTTCCTGGAGCCGGGTAGACTTGGCTCCTACCCCAATGTAAGGAGTAGCGCCCATGCTGCCTCATCCGGGGACCCAGGGATCGGGGCTCCCAGTGTCCCTCTCTGGGCAAAACAGGAGTCTGAGTCCTCTGCTCCTCCTGAGAGCTAGATTCTCGAACTCCAGGCTCCTTCTTCCCCGAGGACCCAGAAGACCGAGTCTCCATCCCCCTCCTCCCCCGCAGCCCCGGCCTCCTCACCCGCTCAGGCTTCTGTGAGCTCCCTTCTGCGCCGTGGGCGCTGTCGTTACTGCCTCCGAGACGGATAGGTAGCTGGGGAAGAGGGAGGAGAGAGGCTGCCCTGTCCCCCTCCCCAGCAGCCCGGAAGTGGAGGGGGGTACAACAGGTCCGACAGCTCCCGAGGGAGGAGGGAGCGACCAGCTTGCCCCGCCCGCAGCTGCGGCATCTGGCCATCCTGGCCCCACTGGCCCCACCCTCGGAAAACTCAGCATCGCGACCCCCGCTTTGGCTCCAGCGACCCCATTCCTGCCCCTTGGAGGGCCAGGTGTGTCTGGTCACCTATGTATAAGCGCCTTCCTGATGCCCAGACCCTAGGAGTCTTGAAAGGAAGAGGGGAATGGAGATAGGGGCCTCTCTCCTTTAATGAGCCCTTTAGAAGGGCCCGGACCGGTTTGGGGAGCTGGGCAAGGGGAGGGGGTGCCCTGAGCTGAATCAGAGACCCGCCCAGAGACAGAGGGAAGTATGGCACCCCCCACTTTGCTATGGGGTGGAGGGCAGAGGTTAAAGGTGTCAGCCAGACCCTTTCCTCTCTGTGCAAAAACAGGAAAATAACTGGTATGTGAGAAAGGATGATTGGATGTCGGGAGCTGTGCTAAACGCTTCACACGCGTCAGTTCAGTTTCACCCTCCCAGCAGCCCAGTGAGAAAGAGATTTCTATATTCATTTTAAAGTTGGGGAAACTGAGGCTGAGGGGGACAAGTGTGCCCCAAGTCTATACATGTTGTTAATGTTAACACCAGATTTGTTCTCTGGAACGTCCATGTTTTTAACCATTAGGAATGCTGTCACTCCAGGCCAGGAAGTGCCTGGAAGATGATTCTAAATGATACTCACAATAATAGTTAACACTGATAGGAAGTCTGCCATGCGGGCAGTGTGCCAAGTACCTCACACATAGGGACTCACTGGATCGTCACAATACATTATTATTATTGTTATTGTTATTATAAATATTATTATATCCATTTTACAGATGAGGAAACTAAAGCCTGGAGAAGTGAAGAAGATCTTTATCCTGGGTTTCACAAGATGTGGCTCAACTCCAACATGGTGTTCTAATCCAAGAAGCCAAGAAGGCCCTGCCCCAGACATCTGTTTGCTTCTGCTCCTGTGTGTTAGAGTATCTCCTACTTTGGGCTCCCTGGACCTTCACCCTGCCCCACTCTCTGGCCTCTCCAGGGACTAGAAGTAACCCCAGGCACCTCAGCCCAGAAGCCCAACTGGTTCTCCAGGAAACAAAGGGAAGTCAGATTCAGAGCTGAAGTATTTTTTTTTATTCAGGAAGCTCAAGCTGGTGAGGGAGGGAAGAGGAGAGAGGATCCAGTGATGGCACCTCTCCCCTCACCCCACCTAGTGCATTTTTAACAGATATGAGCACCTGACAGAGACGATGTCAGGAAGGGAGGGTCTGGATCCCACAGCGCATGTTAGCTGGAACGGCAATGTCTGAAAAAGAAGAAACCAAGGGTGAAACTAAGGGGCCCTGGCAGACGTCCCCAGGCCCCACTGGAGACCCAGAAATCCTAAGAGCCCTTCTTTGGGAAAATGGAGTCCAGCCCCCAGCCCCTTTCTCTCTCAAACCCAGGAGTCCCGCCCTCAGCCCCCTCCTCATTCAGACCCAGGAGTCCAGGCCCCATCTTCTCACCTATCTGCTGAGGCTTCGGCAAGTTCAGGTTGTCCATGACTTTTACGAACTCCTCACAGCTGAGGGTGAGCCGAGGGTTCAAAGTCCGCTCCTCCTCCACAGTGGACACTGTGAGCCCTAGTGGCCAAGAGAAGAGGAAGAATGTTCTGGACTACATTTCCCAGGAGGCTTTGGGGGTACCTCTCTGGCCTGGGACTCACAGGCTCTTCCCAGAATGTCCCTGAGATTGCTTTCCCTCCTCGACCGGCACGATGGGAAATGTAGTTTCCCACAGTTCTCTATAAGGCAAACCCATGCCACCGTCCAGTGTGATTTCTACATCCGCACTCAGTACACCTAAATAAGGATCTTTGATCTTTTTGGCCAGAGAAATTTCTGGGAATTGTAATCCCATGCCCCAGGAGGATTACAGCAGTTGGTGCTGTCAAATCATAGTAAGTTCTGTAGGTCACACACCTCCTCCAGGAAGCCCTCACCATGGTAATCATGAGCAGGGTAGATCAGACAGTCTCCTGGAAGCGTGAAGATCTTTTCATGGACCGAGTGGTACAAGGTCTTAGCACAGCCTGGGGAGGGAAAGCTCAGAGGTCAGTGCATCGAGAAGACAAGACAAGCCCCCTTTACCCCTTCCCTCAGGAAAAGGGTGAGAGGGTAAAATCACTGTAGCCAAACCCTCTCCCTCGTTTCCTGCCGGTAGCCCCTTACCCAGATAGAGAAGGAGAGAGAGGGCATTCTAGGCAGGTGAAACAGCAGGTACAAAGAACTGGGGAATAAGAAATTCATCACGGCTGTAAATAAGGTTAGGATGAGACACTGAGGAGCTGGCCCTAACTCTGGGGGTGCCAAGAAAGGGAAGGTGGACTAGAAGGAAGAAACTAAGGACGTGAGGCCAAGGAGGAGAATGGAGCCGTGGTTCCAACAAGAAGCCTTGAGTCCTCAGTTGGGGCAGGAGCAACCTCTCCCGAGTGTTCTTCTACCTTTCATTTCAGTCTAAATCCTTCCATTTCATGACTATGGGAGTGGATAAAAGGGAGATTAGGAGCCTCAGAGAGAAAAAGACAGAGACTGAGATGGAGAGATAAAGCGGGAGGGAAGAGGAAGCGATCCGCAGGGCCAGCTCATCCTGGCTGTCTTTCCTCTCATCCTGGCGTCTCGCCCTTCCCCCCCAAGGCAGCTAAATCCTCCCAATCTACTGTCAACCCCACGTTCATTTTCGCTCTTCCTCGCTCTTCCTCGCTCTCGCTCTCGCTCTCTCTCTCTTCCTCTCTCTCTCTCTCCCCCCATCCCCTGACCCCTCCCGACTATTCACTCTAGGAGAATCCCATTGCTATGCTGCTGTGAAGACACGCAAGCATCCCCATGGAGAGATCCACTTGGGGAGAAACTGAGGCCTCCTGCCCACTTCCAGCACCGGCTTGCTGGCCATGCGAATGAGCCACCTTGGAGGCAGACTCTCAAGCCCCGGGCAAACCTGCAGATGACTGCCGCCCAGGCTGACAGCTCGAATGCACCCTCATGAGACCCTGAGCCGAAACCACCCAGCTAAGCTGCTCCCAGAGTCGTGACTCTCAGAAACTGTGTGAGGTAATAAATGTCAATCATTGTTTTAAGCCGTTCAGTTCTGGGGTCATTTCTTTCACAATGATAGTTAGCACACCCCTGAACCTAACTGTCCTCTAACGGCTAAACTCCTCAAGCTAACTGTTCCCTCATCGGCTAAGCCCTGAATCTAACTCTCCCCCGATTCCAGCAACCAAATACCTTTAATTTAATCCTGACCTCTTAAAACGTTAATGTTCATTCGTTCATTCGTTCGTTCGTTCGTTCATTCATTCTTCTTGCAACTAATACTTAAAACCCTGGCACACACATAATTATATTAAGATCTTGGGCTGCGGAAAGGGGGCCTATGACCTTGCTGGAAGTCCGTCCGCCCACACCCTCGGATGAGCAGGGCATCTCCAGTGAAGGCCATGCTGTGGTCATTCAAGACGAAGGTGACACAGCCTGGGGTGTGGCCAGGGCTGGCCCGGGTCTCCAAGGCCTGGTGGGAGGGAGAGTACAGACAGTCAGCAAGATGCCAGTGGCTCTGTCCTTGTGTTGAAACTGGTCCCAGGAGCCCCCACCCCACCCCAGAGTCACATCTAGATACCCTTGCTTTGTAAAAAAAAATTAAGTTAGACTTCCAGGCACAAACTTCACACCAGAATAAACTCCAAATGAATTAAAGGCAAAAGATAGAAGCATAAAACTGACAGCAACAAAAATATAAATGAATAGATGACCTCTGGTTAGGGAAGAATATTAGATGTGATCCCTAAAGTTGTAAATCATTAAGGAAAAGATCAACGGTTTGATTTTATATCAATATGAACTTTTAGAATAACAAAAACATCATAAACAAAACTTAAAACAAGCTGGCAAACACATTGGTAACACATATACCACACCGTGATCAGAATACTTCACATACGAACAGATCTTGCAAATCAATAAGAAAAGATAAGCATACTAATATAAATATGGAATACTGAACAATCATTAAAACTGTCACTGAAATAAAATTTAATGATATGCACAAATATTTAATAACATAAAAAGATGTTTAATATCCAGTAAGTGCAAAACACAGGTTACAAAAGCCATTTGTATACTGTCATCTTTTTAAAACTTTGATTCATTAACACTAAATATATGTTTTGTTCTTTATGTTTTTCCTATACTATTTTTTAAGTAACAGTGAACATGTAACTTCATAATTAAAAATAAAAATAAATTCAGGATACGCTAAAGAGGTAAACATAAAAACATAAAAATTCTAGAAGGAAATACAGAAGGAGATATATCAAAATCAAAAACAAAATCAGGATTAAAAGACAAAAAAACTCAGAGACAATATTAGCAGCACATATAAGAAAGTGTTATAAAGTGTGAATAGCCATAATATATAAATAGCTCCTAGCATCAATGAGAACCCCCAAAAGAAAATGGGCGAAAGACTGCCATTAAGAACCCCTGAAACAAAGGGGCACAAAGATGCCCACCCAGGGAATGCTCATAGTCTAAACTCCCACACGCAGTTCAGGGAAGCAATTTTCAGAAAAAATTATTACCCTTATGATCCAACAACCACTTGTAAGGTTAGTTCCCACTCACACATCACTCTTCCTCTCTTAATAGGGCCTCTCTCACCAATTAGCACCCTTGTCCAGATCAGTCATCTGCTGATTCCTGAAGGACATCACGTGCAGACTCTGTGTTCACATCATTCTGCTGTTCCCCACTCAAATGTCCAACTTGGTTTGGGGCATCAGTGTGCCCGGCCAAGCACATTCCAAGCCTCCTTGGCAACTTGGGTGGCCCCCAACACAGTTCTCTGGCCAATGAGATCTCAGTGAGTCTCCTGAAGATTCCTGGGAAAGTTTTTCCCTCCCTGGTAAAAGGGACTGGCACCTCCCCTTTCTGCTTCATCTGGCTCTGGACACAGGGTGTGATGGCTGCAGCTGCAGCAGCTACTTTGTAACCTTGAAGGAAAAGTCAAGAGAATCCCACAAATGATAGTGCTGCTGAATCAAAGAGGGTCACTGCCTCCTTCCAGACGTCTTGTTACAGGAGAAAATTAAATTCCTATTTATTTAAGCCACCGTATGTGTTTTTCAGTTACTTTCAACCAATCATCTTCCTAACTCATATACAAAAGGATACACGTGCAACACAAAACAAGTGCAAAGCAAAAATCACAAATCTTGCAAAATCTTGTAGGAAAAATCACACCTTTCTAAAATTAACATTACCTTTCAGTGATAGAGGGGTGATCTTTCCCTTTTTATTTTGTATGTTTCCATATTCTCTGATTTTTTAAAACAAAAACCGTGGGTGTCTTTTGAACTGGGCATATAAATGGATATTCAAGAGTAATGTTCAAAAATGCTTAATCCCAGTTATCATGGGTACTGGCCCATCAGAAGGACATCAGCTGTAAACACCCAGTACAGTTAGTCGAGAGTGTGTAAGTGGTATATACAAGTGCGCATCCATATGTATTGAATAACGTTTTAATATCAATTGAACAAAATCTTGTTTGCTTCATGGATCAAGATCCCCTAGGCCCTTGGTGACTGAGTCTGCATCGTAAGTGGTTTTGCTGATGATCAGCCTCCCTGACCTTTCCTTTCTCTGAAATATCTACCCCCACAATCCTGTCCATCTCGGGCTTAATCACCTCCTGCCTGAACCAACCACCAGCCTCCTCCCTGGCCTCCCAGCCTCCCATGCATCTCCCACATGACCCTGAGGGAGTTTCCTATCGCCCAGATCCAAGCCTGCCCCTCTCTGTTGAAAACCCACCCTCAGCCTGACTTTTAAGGGGCTCCTCAGCCCCCACTTGGTGCCTGCCTACCTTTCCAGCCAAACGGTCTGTAACATCCTCCTTCCCCCAGCATGCTCAGCTCCTCTGAACCCCAGGGTCATTTCCAGAAAGCACTGGGCTCTTCCACACTCCTCTGCCCATGCATTTCTCTGCCAGGTGCACCCTTCCCCCCTCTCCCGTCAGTCTGCTCCACCCATTCTTCAAGAGCCCTGACATTGGCTGACCCCTTCTCTTGTGCCAGGCTCATCCAGTCCACACATGTCCTTAGGAGGTAGGTACCATTCCTGTCCCCCCTTCTACAGATGAGGAAACTGAGGCACAGAATGAGAACAAACAAACTATCTGTGACAATATGAATGAACCATACAGACATAACGATGAGCATACAGAGTGGGCGAGATGTAAGAGTGGAGTGGAGGGGAACGAAATGGAACGAAGTGGGAAACCTCAGAGGGCCTGGTGCGCTGGAAAGGTATGATCTTATGAAGATGGGATTTCATCTCTAAATCCAGATGTAAAAGCTTTCTCTCTTGGTGAGCTGCATGGACTAGTCATTACGCGCGCTCTCTGGAGCCAGATGACGTGGGCTCTAAATCTGGCTCCGTGACCACTAGCTGTGTGACTTTAACAAGTTACGTCACTGCTCTGGGCTTCTCTGCTCATTTGTACATGGGGATAATAACTGTTCCCACCTCATAGGGCTATTGGAAAAATTAAATTATTTTGTCTATGTAAAGTACTTAGAAAAAATGCCCAGTGCAAAAATACTGATCTGGTGGCAGCACAAGGCTTCCTGGGTTAAAATCCTGCCTCAGCCACTTTCTCAGTGTCACTGTTGGGCAAGTCGCTTTTGCTCTCTGCACTTCCTTCTCCATAAAATGGGGAAATACGTCTTATCTCACTACATGATTATGAGGTTTAATGAGACCTATCTGTCAAGAAAGAGCTAGCGGAAGCCCAAGGGTCAGATTTGGCCATAGAAGCGCTTTGTGCGTACTGCTCAGCGGTTATTAGAAATATGAATTTGTTGTTAATCCTTCAAAAGTGGAAGATTTCTCAAAAATGTATATCTGTGGCTTCTGGGTTTTTGTTTTTTGTGTGTTGTTTTGTTGTTGTTTTGTTTTGTTTTTTAAAAAGGCTCGGCAGTGGACAGTCTACATTCCTAAATACGTCTAATCAATTTGAATTGTGCAGTGGGTATCCTCCATAAACAGAGCATGTACCCTAATATTTGCCACAGACCTCACCACTCCCCACTTCCTGCAGCGATATCTGATTATGAAAATCCTTCTAGATAAATGCTGTGAAAATACACTTACAGAGCTTAGCACAATGCCTGGTGAGAAGAAAACACTCAATAGCTGTCCACTATTATTAAATTATTGTTAATTAATACAAAAATATCTACAATCTACTTTATTGACAGCAAAAAGAAGTTTTAAAAAACAAATCAAATGACACCGTGAGGAAACGATCAGACATACCTGGAATGTGGGATATTCTACAAGACAACAGGCTTCAAAGGTCACGGTCATGAAAGAGAAAGGGTAGGAAACTGTTCTAGGTTGAAAGAGACTGAACTGACAGAGCGGCCAAATGCCGAGCACGAACCTCGAGTGGGTCTTGGTTCCGAAAAACAGCTGTAAAATTGATTCTTAGGGCAACTGGAGAAATTCAAACATGGGCTGGGTTTAAGAAATATTGCCCACTTTGTTAGGTGTGACAAAGAGTTTGTAAAAGAATGGTTATCAAAGTGTAGCCCAGGGAACCCTGAGAATCTCCAAGATCAAAACCACAGAACATTCCATCTGAGCCTGCCTAGCTCCCCATTTTTTCAACACATTCATTCCTCTCTTCCATGATGCATCAGATACTGGACGCGGCTCCTCGGCCATTCTTTCTTGGTTTCCCGCAGCATCGATGTCTTCTGAAACTACCTGCATCCGCTAAACTCCACCGGGATCAGTGCAAGCCCGTGGCGCACTCACCTTGAAGTTCCCACAGCCCACACTGCCCCCTGGTGGCAAGCAGGTTCTCGGCTACTTTCCTTTCTGTCCCCAAGTTCATTCTTTTGCTCCATTCTTCAAAAGTACTTAATTTTGGTATGGCCTTGCAGTGCTTCTATGCCCTCTCAACTCGAAAACCTCAAATGCTATTTTCCATTGTAGCTAAATACTCTGAACCTCCATCAGCTAAACCTTTTTCCTTTCTTTTGCGGGAACAAAATAAGGTGGAGTGATGGATGGATAGAGGTGTATGCTGTAAATTTTTTTCAATTTTTCTATATGCTTGACATTGTTAAAAAATATTGAGGGCGGGAAAGACTTGCTCCACGATTCAAATATTTAATTCCAAAAAGGAGGAAGCACTGACATTCTCATCTGGGCGACACAACGGTCACCGGATTCCCTGTGTCCACCCCAAACAATTAAATCAGAATCTCGAAAATGGGACCTGGGAAATCAGTGTCTTGGGCAGCACCCTGCTCAATCAACACACTTAACAGGAAACTAACTTTCTGAATCTACCAGCCCTCATGGGAAGTAAAATGTTCAAGTCTCAATCACTGCGTATTAAAATGGAAAATTCATTCTACAATAAAACATCTAAATTTGGTCCACTAAGAGTGTACAATGTACAGACAGTTCAGAAAACTGTTTCTGGGGCATTGGACAGTTTCCACTTAAATTAAACATATGTCAGTTCTGTGACCCAGCAAGTCCACTCTTTGCAGTCAAGGGTAATGTCAATCGAGAGATCTGTACAATAATCTTCACAGCAGTGCTATCGTAATAGCCCCGAACTGGGATCAGCCATCAAAAGGAGGATGGATAGACTCTCATAACTTCACACAATGAAATTATCTGTATCCGGGGTTGCCAAGCTACGGCCGGTGCACCAAATTGGGTCTGCCACCTGCTTTTGTAAGGCCTGAAAGCTAAGAATGGTTTTTACACTTTTTCATGGTTGAAAACAAAAATCAAAATACAAATGATATTTCATGACATGTGAAAATTATTGAAATTAAAATTTCAGTGGCTGTAAGCGAAGTTCAATTGGGGCACGGCTGTGCTTATTCATTTCTGTATCGTCTGTGGCTGCTTTCACACCAACAGAACTGAATAGTTGTGACAGAGACCATATGGCCTGCAAACCAAAAATATTTACTATCTGGTCCTTCACAGAAAGTTTGTCAACCCCTGATATATAGCAATAGAAGGAAAGAATTACAACCATACACAACATTATGTACAGTGAAAGAAATCGGAAGAAGAGAATACACTGTATGATTCCTGTTTAGAAGGCCCAGAACAGGCAGAACTAATCTATGATCAAGACAGAGGAATTGTCCCTTGGCAGAGTGTCGAGGGCCAGAAAGAGGGACAAGGAAGGGTTCTGGGGTGATAGGCATGTTCTGTATCTGGATATTCAAGTGTAAACATGTGAAAATCTACCAAACTCCACATGTACAATATGTGCACTTTATTATATGTATATTACAATTCAATTTTTAAAAGTGGGGGAAGAAAACTAAGGGAGAGAAAAAAATAAGCCCATCTCTAAAGGTTTATAAAGAACTCAGGTAAAAACCAAACGAAATACTGAATAATCATAATGCCAGATAGTAACAAGTGTTGATAAGGGTGTGGAGGAACTGGAACCCCCATTCGCTGCTGGTAGGAACATAAAATGGTGCAGCCACTTTGGATAACAGTCTGGCAGGTCCTCAAAGTGTTAAATATAGAGTTATCATATGATCCAGCAATTCCATCCTAGGTATGTGCCCAAGAGAAATAATAACACGTGTCCACACAAACATTTGTACAAGGATACTCATAGCAGCATTATTCATAATAGCCAAAAAGGGGGAACAACTCAATTGTCTATAGACTGATGAATGAATTAATAAATGCAGTAGATCCATACAATGGAATATTATCCAACAATAAAAAGAAATGAAGTACTGATACATGCTACAACATGGATGAACCTTAAAAACATATGGTCAGTGACAGAAGCCAGTCACAAAAGGCCACATATTGTATGATTCCATTTCTATGAAATGTCCAGAATAGGCAAATCTATAGAGACAGAAAGTAGATTAGCGGCTGCCTAAGGCTGTAGAGATGAACCGGGGGGCTGGAGTGACAGCTAAGGGCTGTGGGGTTTCTTTGTGGAGTGATGAAAATATTTAAAAATCAATTGTGGTGACAAATGCACAACTCTGTGAATATGCTAAGTCACTGAACTGCACACTTTACATGGTGAATTGGATGGTTTGTGCGTTATGCCAATAAAGCCTTTTTAAAAGAGCAAACACTGAAGCTAAATCCACCACACCTGAACCCTCAGCAGTCACTGAAAACATCACTCATTCGGTTCAACAACGGGCTCATCCTGACACAAAATCCAGTCATTTTTAACTCTTCTAAGGTTTCTCAGCCCAAGAAATGCTTGTTAGCACCTGACTGTGGTGTACAGTTTGCATAAATGCGTAACGCATTTTTTTTTTTACCTCCTTCCAGAAAAAAGGCTTGAAATAAAGAGGCTGTAACCACGGTAGCTAAATCCTCTGATCCCACACAAAGTCCTCATGTCAGCTAAATGCTGACTCAGATAAACTATCTCCATTTAGCAAAACCCTTTAACCTGTCACCTGACATTCTGCTGCCAAAGTCAGCCAAATTCTCTACATCTTTAGCAAGCTGCC